TCGAGGATTCCCAGAAAATATGGGAAAATATGGGAAGTGGGGGGGAAGGCAAAAACCCAGAACATATGGGAAAATATAGGGGATATGTTTATTTGTGTGTATTTATTTGTGTGTCCCAGTTCCCCTTCATGATAGCTCTATCCGAATTCTCATCTTTGACCTGGAGGGTGAGAAGCGTGACCAAGACCTGCCACGGCCAGCAGACATGAGCTTCTACACCACTCAGCATGTCAGCCAGGCCTTGCGGGCCAGCCGGCGGCAGCCAGAGAAAGTCCTCTGCGGACATCGGGTCCACTCCTGGAGTTTTGTCTGGCTGGGCCAAAATCAAGCGCTGCAAAACTCAACAGTGACAGGCTCGCTACGTCTTCCCTAAGCTAGGCTCTGGGCTCTCTTCCAGAGGGCCTTGACAGAGGCTAAAGTGGTGGGGTCCCCCCTCCACTCCAGGGCCCAGACTTTGGACCTCGCCTCCATTCTCTGGCAGGAATCATGGGCAGGCTTCCCCCGCGCACTTGACTCCCCAGCGTCGGCCCCCTTCTCCTTGAGCCTTTTGTGCAGCCCCTTGTCGCCGTGACGGTCTTGCTCTAAGACCCAGTCGTGGAACTGACCTGGGCTCGCATGAAGCATTCCTCCCTGGGCCGTGACCGAGTTCTGAAAAGCCTGATTACTGAAACGCTTCCGCGAATCGTCAGTCTGATCTCCAGCCGCGCGCAATGCTCTAACCCACTCAGATCTGACCTCGGGAGTCAGGGGCAGCAAGGGAGGCACTGGGACCGTGGTGGCGAAACCCCTCCGCCTCTCAGAGAGCCTCTGACCTCTGGGCGAGCACCTGTTGTGAAGCTGGCTGGCGAGATCAGACAGCAAAACATGGACCCTGGACCGTCCATTCGCAGCAGGATCCCCAGACGACACAACATGGGCACCCTGGGCCTCCGGCTTACTTCTCCGCTCTTCCACGGAGCTGCTTCCCCGACATCCAGCCTGGCCGAGGGGAGGGCTGCCCGGAAGCGTGCAGAGAAGAGAGGACTCGAGCCTGTTGGTCCAATCAGCCAAAACACCCTTCCTGCAACCGAGGCTGCCTTCTCATCTAGCTGGGAAGCCCGAGGGACTCTGAGCCGTACTGTGCCGGCCTGGCGTATTGTGTCGGCCGCGCGAGGGTGCCCCGCAGCACGTTCTGGCTTCTTGCGGGCCTCCTGAGCGGCAGCGATGGCTCCTCGTCCCCACCTGTACCCGTCGGTCGTTGAAAGTAGGTGTTCTTGGATTTCCCGATCTCAGTCCACTTCGAGCGCCTTCCTACTTCAGCAATCGATCTGCGTTTGCTGAGTTTCGTTCTTCTCTGGGCGGGCCTGGACCCAATCTGCTTTATCTGCCTTCCTACTTTCTGTGTTTACCTACATCTTCCGACCGACGTGTAGTTCTCGAAGCCGCTGAAGACGTTTCCCCATCCAGGATCGACACCTCCACCCACTTCCAGGGCGCCCGGAGCGCTGCCCCTGGCGACTGAGGTCCTCGGGGCGGGCATCTAGCTCTCGAGGTCAGGGGCGATACCACCGCTGGGGGCATCAGGTCCATCATCCGAGCTGTTCCGAGTCGGATCCCCAAAGCTCCAATCTTTATTCCGTACGTACTCGAGCAGAAGTGCCGAACTGAACGGAACACGTGGCCTCCGCATGAGAGATCTTTAAGAAGGTGCGTCTGTCTGCTGGCTGACTGTCTGTTCCTGCTGCTTCCTTGACCTCTTGCTCAACGGGCCCCTTGCAAACGCTACGGCATTGGCAACACCATTCTCATCGCCTGCTCCAGTTTGAGCTTCAACCTGACATAAATGCCAAAGTGAGTGTTGCCAGCACCATAGCAAGACTCGCCATCCACTTCGCAATCTACAATGAAACTGACCATACTGCTTCTTGGAACCTGCCGCGCACGTGTAATCTGAACCATCCCCTACTCTGATCAATCCTTCTACCATTTTTGGCCACCCAGATCTTTCTCAATTGCTGCGGTGTAGCATTGACATCTCCGATCGCCAACCAAGGCGTTTTGATGGACAGCAAGATGGTCCCTAGCTGGATAAGCTTCGTAGCATCCCGTCCATTGATACCAATTCCATCGCTGAGATACATACCGAATAGTGAAACTGCTTGGCCACTCACTTTGTTCTGTACTCCCGTCCAGTCCGTGCAACCTGTGCCCGTCATCGATGTTGTGGGTCTGCCAATATCCCTCACGCCCATCTGCAACTTTGGTTTCGTCGCCAAATACCTGAACGGCTGGCACTGGAACTTTTTCCTCACCCCTGTGCTGATGCCCATTGCCTTCTGGGACTTCGGGTTGGCAATACGAGGGCGCTACGACTAGCTGAGACCCAAGCTTACTCAATTCATGAAGGACCTCTGCGCACCCGTCAGGAAGAATATGGAGTTCGGGGAATCTGACAATCTCATGCTGGGCCTCCTTCAAGAGTTCTCTGCATGCTGGTCCCCATCCAGATCGGTTGCGCAAATACAGCGATACCAGACCGTCGTCACTTGCACTGTGTACGTCAATGATGTTTCTTTGCTTCGCTCCGTATGCCTTTGACCATCTCCTCGACCTCTGCCTGCAGTCTCTCCGTAGCTTCATCCACCGCTGCTGGCGCCGATGACACTTGAGGTACTGCAAATGGTCCGCCTGCCGCGCCACATGCCCCAGCCCCTGCTGCTGGCGGCGGCGTTGAGGCCCGCGCTGGCTCTCTGAGCGATGAGGCAGCCGGCTGAGACGGCTGATCGACTGAATTTCCATCATTCCTTTTCCTCTTCTTACTTGCTCGTTCCATGGCTGCCTCGATGCTTTCCTGGTGCTCCTTGAGCTTGGCTGCGATGGTGCCATGGCTCTCCTGCAGTGCCTGTGATACATCTCCTGAAGTGAGGCCTGCGCCTTCTCCTGGGTGTCCTTGTCTGGCTGTGAGAGCTCGACATCGTCCAATCCTCTACCAAAAAAGACCTTGAGGTCAAGCTTTCCTGCCATAATTTGTTGTATATTAAGTGTTGCTGGACCCCCTGGCTCTGGCAACGCATCCTCGGGCAAGACGCGTTTGGCCTTCTCGACCTCTGCCTTCTCCGCCTCGAGCACTTCTTCTGTTGATTCGCGTAATTGACGTTCACACCTTTCGAGTTCCTTCTTGGCTCTGACCCAAGCCGCCTTGGCTTTGTCCTCTGCCTTCCTTGCTTGCGTGAGGCGAGCGGTAGCTTGTTGGGGTTCCTGACCTGGCGGGATCGGAGGGAATGCTGCTGGCTCAGACATGATGGCCAATGGCCAACAACCCTGCGTTGCCTGCACTGTGTCGTCATCCGATTCATTCTCGGCTCCACAGACATCGGCGGCGAGTTGCTTGAGCTGCTCCGGTCTGGAAGTCGACTCCGACGTGCGTTGATGACCAGCAGCCCCAGCAGGATGACGGCCCGCAGCACGAGGTTGGTCGGAGAACTCCTCTCCGCATATGCACATCCAATTCTTTGACTTGAGCCTATCGGCGAAGAGTTTCTTGCCGCAGGCTGCACACTGCACCATCTCCCTGGCTTGACAACTTTGAGTCCCACCAGCCGCGCGGCTGTGGGAACCCTCCAGCCCGACGCTGGCCAGGCAAGGATGGGTAGACATCGTCATTCCTGAGCTGTTTGTACATGGAATGCTTCCTCTTTCCATGGCCATGGCGTCTTCTAGTGCGCCCACGGCTGCCGAGAAAAACCATTATGATGCATTCGTAACGTCATGCAGAGGATATGAGGGCTGCTATCTCACTCCAGTGCGCAGAAACGGTTGGGCCGCGAACTCCCTTCGCCACAATACTCCTGATCCTGAGTTACTTGCCTCCGGACCTTGAGCCACAATGGTTACGGAGGATCATAAGTTGTGAGAAAGTCTTAGGCGGCACGCCCAGCCCGGCCGACACGTCTAGGGGTGCAACAGGGAAGAGATGCGTATAAGGAAGAAGGATGAACGAGGAGTCGGAGGATGACCAATGTAAACCCAAGACGCCTATTTGATGTTGCAATCTACCCTCTCTCTAAGTTTCCTCTTACTAGGACCCTATAACGATTCACTTGAATTTCGGGAAGTGCCCTGTAGGAGGAGGAGGAGGAGGAGGAGGAGGAGGAGGAGGAGGTGAGGATGAGGAGGAGGAGGAGGAGGCGCCAGAAACACACTTCCTGGGACTTCCACGCTGCGAGTCGACGTGACTGCTGCGTCTGTCAGTCCTCCTCACCCTCCTCCTCCTCCTCCTCCTCCTCCCTCCTCCTCCTCCTCCTCCTCCTCCTCCTCCTCCTCCTCCTCCATCGCGCCAGAACACTTTTCCTGGGATTTCAACCATACGAGCCCTCGATGCTGTTGCAAGCTTTCGAGACGAATGTTCGCGGCGATCAGGCGAGAGCCACATTTGGAAAAGGAATCGCCCTCCATCCGTGAAGCTGCTGCAAGCTTTTGGGACGAATGTGCGCGGCGCTGCGGCGAGAGCTCCATTTTGGAAGGGACCTGCCCACCCCCTCAACAGCTGTTGCAAGCTTTGAAGACTTATGTGGGTTGACACTCAGGCGAGAGTCACGTATTGAACAGGACCCTCCTTCAGTCTTTGTTTTGTAGACGAATTCTCGCGGCGCTAAAGCGAGAACCGCATGACACACATCGACCCACCTTCCATCCGTGAACCTGTTTCAACTTTCAAGCTTTAGGACCATACATGACGGGGGAGTCTTAAGCGAAACGCCCGGCCCGCCCTACCGACACCTCTGGGGGTGCGACAGGGAGGAGTTATTTATAAGGAAATGGAACGAGGAGGAGGAGGAGGAGGAGGAGGAGGAGGAGGAGGAGGAGGAGGAGGAGGAGGTGGATGGACGTCTTTGTCGTCGTCGTCGTCGTCGTCGTCGTCGCCATCGCCATATCCATAGCCATCGCCGTCGTGGTTGTGGTGGTGGCGGTCGTTGTCGTCGGTCGTTGTCGCCCCCCCCCCCCCCCGCGGCGGCGCTCAGCTACGTCGTGCTTGGTGTCGCCAACGGCACCATGCGCGTTTTGCTGGGCTTCGACTTCGCCTCGCGCGCTGGCGTGTTACGAGCGTTTCTGGCTCCAGTCCTGGCTGGTGACCGCGGGGGTCCTCCTGCTGCTCCTGCTGCTCCTGCTGCTCCTCCTCCCCCCCCTCCCCCGTCCCTCTCCATGTAGGCAGGGGTCCTGAGGCTGATGGGTCCCGTTCCAACCTCTTCGGCCTTCTGGTGCCCTTCCCAGGCGCTGGGACAGTCCGAACAGACATGGGGATGAAGAACACGCCTTGAGGAAGGGCCCAGAGATCAGGACTGGTCTCCCTCAGGACCAATTTCCCCGTTTCCTTCATGCAAGCCCCCGTTCGCCTCCTCCTCCCCTTCCTCCTGCTCCTCCTCCGTTTTCTTTTCATCACGGGTGAAAGGCTGTTTTCCACAATTTGTCAGGAAGGGGGGAGGTGAAGGGGGGCAACAGGGGGGAGTGGCCCAGGGCTTGAAACATCGGCCCCCTTGCCCACACGTCGCCGATAAGTGCCTGGGTGCTCCCCCATGACCAGACACGTTCGATTTCGCTATCAGCGGCCTATGGCCAGTCTATCGGCGATGTATTGTCGATTCTAGGCCGATCCCACTTGAACATATCCAAATTTCACCTCCCATCAGGGAGAAGGAGGAGAATGATGAGGAGGAAGAGGAGGAGGAGGCGGAGGAGGAGGAGGAGACATACGAAAGCACGCAAAGCTACTTCTAGTGAGGCGGAAACTTGCAGATCTTCCACATGGGGTCCGAGTAGACGGGGTTGAAGGATCGCGCCGCATTGTCGGTGCATCACCGATGCATCTGCGAAGGACTGGCGACGTCGGCGCATCGGCGCCGCTGGCGTGGAGTACCTCGGGATCGCATCGCCGATGCATCGCCGATGCATCGGGAGCTGCATCGCCGATGCATCGGCGATGCGGCGGCGCGATCTTCTGACCCCATCTGCTCAGACTTCATGTGGGAGGCCAGGAGGACGAGGACGACAAGGAGGAGGAGGATAGTATAACCAGTCTAAACCCAAGACTCATCAACGATATTGCAATCCATCCTTTCTCCAAATTCCCGCCCGAATGATTTATTTTCACTAAAGGGAAACACACCGTTGGAAGACAATCGTTTGAAAATCTTGCGTTGTGCAAGTGAACCATTCATAGGATTTCAACGCCGCGAATCACCGTTACTGTTGCGTCTCGACGATCCTGAATCGTGCCAGAACATTGTTTCTAGGACTTCAGCACCACGAATCAACGCAATTGTTGCGCCCTGACAGTCTGACATCGTGCCAAAACACAATGGGATGTTGACCGTGATAATCCTTGAAACTGTTGTGAACTCTTAAAACGAATGTGCCCGTTATCAAGGCGAGAGCCAGATTTTGAACATATACCGTTTTCCACCCGTGTAACCGCCGCAATGTTCTAAGACGAATGGGCGCGCCGCTCAAGCGAGAGCTACTTTCTGAAAACTGCCCGCTCTCCATCCGTGAAACTGCTGCACGTTCCAAGCCTCAGGATCATAAGTGGTGAGGAAGTCTCAGGTGAAACGCCCGGCCCGCCCTTTCGACCGGCCTCGGGGTGCGACAGGGAGGAGTTGTTCATGTATCACCGAGCGCGCTCCGCTACTCGCAAAGTGTCTGCTCGCAACCGTCAGAAAAACATGTCCTCCTCTACGTAAAGGATCTTAAACTCCCCGTGGCGGATCAATGCCATTTGCGAGGAGCTACTCTGCGAGTCGTGGAACGCGCTTGCCTAATAGAAGGGCCAGGAATGGATGCGGACCTGCCGCACCTCGCCTCACGACCTTCGGAGACCTCAGGGAGCCTCCAAGCAACGCCAGTAGCCAGCGAACGTAGCCGAAGATCACCAAAACCCAGCGAGGGCCTCGGCCACTGGCGACAAGAGCCGAGCGCAGGCGAGCTGAAGAGGAGGAGGCGGAGGAGAAGGAGGAGGCGGCGGCGGAGGAGGAGGAGGTGGAAGGAGGAGGAGGAGGAGGAGGAGGAGGAGGAGGAGGAGGAGGAGAAGGAGGAGTTGGATGAGGAGGAGGGCGAGGAAGAGGAGGAGGAGGAGGAGGAGGAGGATAAGGAGGAGGGTGAGGAGGAGGAGGAGGAGGAGGAGGAGGAGTACGTGAAATGGTTGCTCGAACCAAGCCAACAAGGACCATGCAATCTATCTAGGTGTGGTCCGTGAGCTCGCCCTCGCGGAATCCCACTGGGTAGTCGAGTGCGAATCGACCCTCGTGACCGAATCTGGATCCTTGGGCCGGGCTTCCTCTGTCACTGGGGAAGGTCGGGGGCGGGTTGGATGGGAAGGGGCATAAAACGACGCGAAGATCGGGACAAAATCGGATCGGGATAACTCGAAATCTCTGAGAATCGGCGGGTTTGGAGGATGTATTGGGCGCCGCGGCCGCTCCAGAGCGTTCTGGCACGCTCTGAGAGCGCTCCGGAACGCTCTGGAGCGATTTATCCCGATCCTGGCCCTGTTTTAGGACATGCGGGCCGGGGAGCAGGGATGCAGGTGCAAGGGGGGCGGGGGAGCAAAAGGGCGGCGGGGCAGCGGAGGGCGGCGCGGGAGGAGAGGATGGGGGAGCGAGGAGCAGGGGGAAGGGGCGGAGGGAGGAGGCGGGAGGCGGAGGAGGAGAGGAGGAGGAGGAGGAGGAGGAGAGGAGGAGGAGGAGGAGGAGGAGGAGGAGGAGGAGGAGGAGAGGAGGAGGAGGAGGAGGAGGAGGAGGGAGGAGGGGAGGAGGGAGGAGGGAGGAGGAGGAGGGAGGAGGAGGAGGAGGAGGGGAGGAGAGGAGGAGGAGGAGGGGCGGGCTCGAAGGGGAGCGGAGGGGGGGAGGGGAGGGAACGGGGGAGAGGGTCGGCGGGCAGGGAGCGAGGCGGCACGACCGTCTGCGGTAGTTGTGCGTGCGAGGGCTCCTGATTCTTGGTGCAGTTCTGCTGTTTTCGTATTGTGTTCGTGCTGTTTTCCTGCTGTATTCCCATTTCCATTGTGCTTCTATGGTATTTCTATGGCATTCCTGGTGTATTCCCATGGAATTCTAGACGCTTCGCTTATCCCCACCAGCCCATCCCGAAACGATGTCCAGGCGAGTTGAGGTGATCAGGGAAGTGCGGCAGCAAAGAGGAGGACGGCCGAACCGTGCAAAGGAGTGAGGAGGAGGAGGAGGAGGTGGATGGATGGATGGATGAGGGAGTGGGAAGACGGAGGATGAATAGGTTGAGGAGGAGGAGGCGGAGGAGGAGGAGGAGGACGAGGAGGAGGAGGAAGAGAAGGAGTAGGAGCAGGAAGGAGGAACAGGAGGAGGAGGAGGAGGAGGAGCAAGCACAAGGGCCAGAGGTCTCTTGGATGCCTCTAGGAGCCTCTTGGAGTATCTCTTGGGCGATTCTTGGGGGCCTCTTGGGACGTCTTGGGGGTCTCTTGGCGATCCTGGGGGGCTCTTCGGGGTCTTGGGTGCCTCGGGGGGGGGGCCTCTTGGGGCCTCTGAGGGTCTTCTTGGGGGCCTTCTGGGGGCCTCTTGGGGGCCTCTTGGGGCCATCTTGGGGCCATCTTGGGACCTCTTGGGGCCTCCTGGGCGCTTCTTTGTGCCATCTTGGAGGAGATCTATCAAAGAAGAGCTGAGCTTTAATTAGCGCTGCCCCCCCAGGAGGCCAAAATGGGGCCCAAACCCTGCTAAAATCAATGATTTTGGCTTCCTCGCCGAGGCTGTTTTGGACGCTCTGACCGCTCCCCGCCCCTCCTGTCCAGGTCAGTGGGGAGGGGGTAGGGGGAGGGGTAAACCCCTCCCCGAAGGGGAAGAGGGAGGGGTGGAAGAGGAAACGCCCTAAACCACCGACGCCCAGAGGGTTGGTGGGATCTATCAAAGAAGAGCAGAGCGACAATTAGCGCTGCCCCTCCAGACTGTCTAAAATCGCTTCCTGGACCCCTCTTGGATCGCTCTTGGAGCGCTCTTGGACGCTGTTGAGGCAGTCTTGAGGCTCTCTTGGGCCCCTGTTGGGGCCCAGTTGGGACATCTTGGCGCCATCTTGAGGCCTCGGATGGGCTTCGGAAGCGAAAAAGTGAGAACACCAAAAACATTGATTTTCCTTAGGGTTTTGAAGCATTTCGGCCTTTTGAGGGCACTCTAATGATGCTCTTGTGGGCACTTGGAACCATCTTGGAGCGGTCTTGGAACGTGTTGGAGCGTCTTCTGAACCATCTTCAGGCATCTTGCGCTATCTTGAGCCATCTTGGAGGCGATCTTGGGCTCTCTGAGGCCCTCTTGGAGCCGTCCTGGGCCATCTTGGACGCTCTGACCGCTCCCCGCCCCTCCTGTCCAGGTCAGTGGGGAGGGGGTAGGGGGAGGGGTAGACCCCTCCCCGAAGGGGAAGAGGGAGGGGTGGAAGAGGAAACGCCCTAAACCACCGACGCCCAGAGGGCTGGTGGGGAAACGCTTCGCGTATCCCCACCAGCCCGTCTAGAAACGACGCCAAGGCGAGTAGAGCGTCGTCCTGAGGGGCTTTTCGGCGTCTCGGGTGCCTCGGGGTGGCCTCTGTGGGCCGTTCGGGATCCTGTTTGGGGCCTCCTGGGGGCCTCTTGGGGCCTCTTGGGGCCATCTTGGGGCCTTTGGGGGCCTCCTGGGCGCTTCTTGGGGCAATCTTTGCCCCCTCAGGAGGCCAAAACGGCGCCAAAATCTCAGCAAAATCAATGATTTTGGCTTCCTCGCCGAGGCCGTTTTGGACGCTCTGACCGCTCGCGGCCCCCCCCGTCCAGGTCCACGGTGAGGGGGTAGGGGGAGGGGTAAACCCCTCCCCGAAGGGAAAGAGGGAGGGGTGGAAGAGGAAACGCCTTAAACCACCGACGCCCAGAGGGCTGGTGGGATTGCCTCGATCAGGGAAGTGGACAGCACGGAGAGGAAGCCAGTATGAGACATCTTGGGATTTCTTGAGCCATCTTGGAGGTCATTTTGGGCTCTCCGAGGCGCTCTTGGAGTCATCTTAATCAGTGCCCCCCCCAAGAGGCCAACATGTGGCTAAAACCCTTAGTGCAAACAATGGTTTGACATTATCGCCGAGGCTTCTGGGAGCACCTTGGGTGCCTCTGGGGGGTCTCTTGGGGCCTCTTGGGGGTCTCTTGGGGGCCTCCTGGGGGCCTCTTGGGGGGCCTCTTGGGGCCATCTTGGGGCCATCCTGCGGCCTCTTGGGGCATCCTGGGGGCCTCTTGCGGCCATCGTGGAGGAAATCGATCAAAGAAGAGGGGAGCTTTAATTAGCCCTGCCCCCTCAGAAGGCCAAAATGGGGCCAAAACCATAGTAAAATCAATGATTTTGGCTTCCTCGCCGAGGCCGTTTTGGACGCTCTGACCGCTCCCCGCCCCTCCTGTCCAGGTCAGTGGGGAGGGGGTAGGGGGAGGGGTAAACCCCTCCCCGAAGGGGAAGAGGGAGGGGTGGAAGAGGAAACGCCTTAAACCACCGACGCCCAGAGGGCTGGTGGGATTCCTGTTCATCGTATTGCTTTCCCATTGTGTTCCCATCGTGCTCCCATTGTATGCGTGGTACATTCCTGTTGTTTTCCTATTGTGTTCCGATTGTATGCTGATTTTCTAGTGGATTAAGATTGCAGTACCATTGTATTCCGATTGAAGTCCTACTGCGTCCCTCTTGCTTTCTTATTGTTGTCCTGTCGCATTCCTATAGTATGCGTGTTGTATCTTTATCCGTAAGGGCTTCGCACCATGCCGCCGGCCCCCTCTCTCGGAGAATGGGCCATGGAAGAGCTAAGTCATGAGGCCTTGGCGCTGTCGTGAAGCAGTATCGAAACCTCATGCGAAGCCGATTCGCAATCAGCAAAACCAACTGATCACAAGAGGGGTTACCACACCTGGCGATTGGTAAGACGTGTATGGTTTACGGGCTTGGTCACCACACCTTGCGATTAAAGGGCCGAGGGAGTTCTCGCAGTTCGGGTTACCACGCCTTGCGATGGATGTGCGTGAAGGGTGGCACCGAATGTCAGAAATGTGGCAAATCCCGAATTTCAGAAATGTGGCAAATTTTGTGTTTTTGGACCCTGACCCCGCGGATCTGCGTGAGGGGTGGCGCCGAATTTCAGAAATGTGGCAAATCCCTTGTGTTTTTGGACCCTGACCCCGCGGATCTGCGTGAGGGGTGGCACCGAATTTCAGAAATGTGGCAAATCCCATGTGTTTTTGGACCCTGACCCCGCGGATCTGCGTGAGGGGTGGCACCGAATTTCAGAAATGTGGCAAATCCCATGTGTTTTTGGACCCTGACCCCGCGGATCTGCGTGAGGGGTGGCACCGAATTTCAGAAATGTGGCAAATCCCATGTGTTTTTGGACCCTGACCCCGCGGATCTGCGTGAGGGGTGGCACCGAATTTCAGAAATGTGGCAAATCCCTTGTGTTTTTGGACCCTGACCCCGCGGATCTGCGTGAGGGGTGGCACCGAATTTCAGAAATGTGGCAAATCCGTTGTGTTTTTGGACCCTGACCCCGCGGATCTGCGTGAGGGGTGGCACCGAATTTCAGAAATGTGGCAAATCCCATGTGTTTTTGGACCCTGACCCCGCGGATCTGCGTGAGGGGTGGCACCGAATTTCAGAAATGTAGCACATCCCTTGTGTTTTTGGACCCTGACCCCGCGGATCTGCGTGAGGGGTGTCGATTTCGAGCCCCCCCAGAAATTCAGACAACGCGCCCAGGAGGTGCTAAAAAGCCGGTTTGGGCCTCCCCCCCCTCGCGCGGTCAATCAACTAGTTACAGTAACCAGTAATAAGTCAACTAGTTACAGTAACCAGCAAGAAGCATAATTATAACACTGGAAACTACAACCTACGACTGGTACAGGAAACTGCGAATCACGGGCCTACAGCCTGGTGGCCCCACAAGGGGGCCGGCGGATTCAAGTCCTAGTGTATTCCGGGTGTATTACTGCTTTAGTCATATTGCATCACTGGTGTATTCCTACAGCATTTCTATTGTAGTGTATACCTATGTTACCACTAGTGGGCGAAAGTGGGCGGCGAAAATGGGCGGCGAAAGTGGGCGCCGAAAGTGGGCGGCGGATGTGGGCGGCGAACGTGGGCGGCGAAAGTGGGCTGCGAAAGTGGGCGGCGAAAGTGGGCGGCGAAAGTGGGCGCCGAAAGTGGGCGCCGAAAATGGGCGGCGAAAGTGGGCGCCGAAAGTGGGCGGCGAAAGTGGGCGGCGAAAGTGGGCGGCGAAAGTGGACGGCGAAAGTGGGCGGCGAAAGTGGGCGGCGAAAGTGGGCGGCGAAAGTGGGCGCCGAAAGTGGGCGGCGGAAGTGGGCGGCGAAAGTGGGCGGCGAACGTGGGCTTGCTTGTCGTGAATCTGTCTCTTCCTTGTCGTGAAGCTGCTTGTCGCGAAACCATCCCGGCCATGACGACGACGACGACGACAACGACCACGTCGACGACGACGGCGATGTCTGTGACGACAACGACGACGACGATCTCTATGTGTGTGTGTGTGTGTCTCTCTCGTTCCCTCGGGCTTTCGGCGTCCATCTCTCCCTCTCTCTTGCTCTTCAGCCTTGCATCTTCTCGTGTCTTCCTGCTCGTGCTCTTGCCGCCCGCTTTGTGACGACGCTCCTTCTGCCCCCATCTTCTCTCCGTCTCTCCGGTCCTTTGCTTCTGTTCGCCACCTATATTTTAGGGGAAGGTCAGACTCGAGTACTCCAGAACTCGGGTCTGCCAGCGTTTTTAGACGAGCGCGCCCTGGATTTTGACGGTCTGGTTTTCATGGTTTGCAACAGCAGTTCGAGCGTCAAATTTCAAATTGGTCTCGTTATTTTCATGATGGTCCCCTGAGGGCAACCCAAGTCCCCCGAACCCGAATAGTACGTGTCTTCGAATCTTCTTGCTGCATCGTTATTGTCTTGGCGGTGATGCTGAAGGCCTTCGTGGCCCACATCGTAACAGCTTCACGCCTCACATATCGATGCGTGCAGGCGGGCTAATTGCAGACAGCGTTGCCAATTCGTCCTTGTTCTGGTCTTCGTTAACTCTAGGTTCAGCGTGATCCCAGTTATCCGAATCGTTCGGTCAACCATGATATGGCCATCATATTCCATTTGGTTTGCCCCGAACTCATTTGTATATCTTTCCAGTCGCCTCTTGCACAGGCAAGCTGGTGCCGCTGGTTGCTGTGGCGTCGCCAGTGCTCATGTTTGCAGGCGTCTGGACCGCAACGAGGCCGTGTGGGCGGGGAGAGGATTACAATGAGGACGAGGAGAGTGAGGAATTCGCGAATGGTTGGGCGTAGGAGGGAACACAACTCGGAGAGGAGCAAAGTTTACATGCGTGGACCTCAGGCAGCAAGTTTGTGCAGTGGATGTGCTGAATCTGTGTCACAAGCTATGTGGTGTAAAGTTATGTGGTGTAGTATATGTGGTGTGAGCTGTGCGGTGCAAGCTACGTGGTGTAGGCTATGTGGCGTTGACGGTGCGGCGCAATAGATGTGGTGTTAGGTGTTTGGCGTAAGCTGTGTGGTGTAAGCTGTGTGGTGTAAGCTACGCTGTAAAAGCTCCAGCGGCCACGATCGGGCATCAGGCGAAACCTCGGCACACCCACCCAGAGCGCGAGGCGCTCAGCGGCGATCCTCGACGAGGGCCCGCCTACCAGCCCGAACCAGATCCCCATCCTTGTGGTTGGCAGCACCTCACCTCCGTGCCGATGTGAAGGATACTCTTAGTATCTGATGGTACGCCCGTAATGCACGAAGGCTGACGCCGTACCGCCGACCCCTGGGTCCTATTTCAGCAAGGTCTTCGAACGCGACTTGGCTGTCCGAACTCCACGAAAGCGATAGCACGTACATCTTGTGCCAATAAGGGGGGCAGTGCCACGCGCTTGGAAGCGCGCTGCACGGCCACGTGACGCAAGCTGCGCGGACGGAGGCACGCAAGGAGGGAGTGAGAGGAAGTACTCCAGATTTCGTAATAAAGGGAGGGGGGTCTCATTTCGGGGGGGGGTCTCTTCCAGGCTATCTTGGAGGGCCTGGGGGGGTCTGGGGACGATGTTGTGGAGGGTTCTCCCACGGGGGAGGTCTGGAGTGGCTCGTCTTGGAGGGTCCAGACCCCCTCCCTTTTATTACGACATTTGGAGTAGGGAGTGCGACGAGCAGGTACACCCGCACGCTCGTCGTCGCCTTGGGCTTGACAGCCTCAGGGCCAGGCACGAGCTCAAGGCTGGCTACCTGCGCCCCCCCCCACCCCCGCGCGGCAGGCTGCAGCAGGAGCGCCGCGGCATGCATGCACTGGCCGCCGCGGGGGTGGTGCTGCCGGGAGCGCCGGCGGCAGGCCTTCGGTCGGGCCCATCGTCCCCTCCGTTCTGGACGCCCGAAATGGGTACTGAAAGAATGGGTACAATGCCCAACAACAATTCCTGTTCATTTTGAACAGGATTCGCTGTCCACGCCGCCGCGGCCTGTGTCCATTCGAGACAGAAGGCCGCCCGCCCAACAGCGGCCGCTGTTGGCTTGGGACAACATTTGTTGTTGGGCATAGTGCCGTGCCCATTCTTTCCGTACCCATTTCGGGCGTCCAAATCCGTCTTCGTCGGGCCGACCGTCGTTGTCCGAGGCTCAGGGCTCGAGCATCGACGATATGGCTGGAGGTGGAGGTGGACCTGTCAGGGCCGCCGACGATCCGAGCCGATGCGATTCGATTCGCCGGCGGGGGCCGCGATCCCGATCCGATTCGGCTGGGTTCGAGGCATTGGCCAGCCAGAGGCAGGCGCGGCGCTCCGATTTTGCCTCGATTCGTGATGGTGCGCCGGCGAATTCGATCCGTCTCCGATCCGACCCGATTGCTCGATTCGATGCTGCTCGGGTCCGCACCCGGCCCGGCTGGTCGCCGGCACCTCCTGGACGATGTGCCGGCGAACTCAGCCCGTCTCTGATCGGGACTCAAAGCGGCGGGGGTCAAGGCAAGCGGGGGTTCGGCCAGAGCGCTGGACCTTGTTGCAGGATCCTGCAGAGCCAGGGTCGCTCTGACCCCGTCGGTGTGCAGGATCCTGCAGGGTTCTGGAGTCAGTGTTAAGTCGGGCCTGTCCTTGTACAGGAGGAATATGCAAAAATAATAACAAATAGTCTGGGGACGATGTTTTGATTATTTTTGGAGTATTTCTGGGGTATTTTTTATTTTTCGTCCCAAATCCGCCTGTAGGGGGACATGCCCGACCTAAAGTCAGTATCGTTTAACCGACCCCCATCCCCATCCTCATCCCCTTCAAGGCCCCCACCAAATTACTACTCCAGTTGGGGATGCACCCCTCGGAACCCGAAGGGAACGGCCCATACCCCCATCCAGGGGGTAGATCGGCTAGTGGGGCCCAGGCCAAGCCGATGGGGATGGGGGTCGTATAAACGATGCTCATGGAGGATTTTGGAGAATCCTGCAATGCTTGGCTGACACAGGTTTGCATCGATCGGAGGTTGACAGACCTCCTACCCTGACCCGTCGATTAATGAATTGGCCGTTTTCGGTTCGCGAGAGGGCGTCGCGGCCGTCGTGCTTGCGGGTCTAGGTCCGTCGGGTTCCTTGCGGGTCTAGGTCCGTCGATTTAGGTCCTAGGCCGTTTTCACTAAGGGGAGGTATGCTATTTTTGATAGGTGGATCTCTCAAGCTCTCCGCCGCCTCTCGCCGTGTGCGTTGCGAGCAGGAGCGCAGTAAAGCCACAGGAAAGCGCGGCACTGACAGTGTAGCTCCGCACGCGTGACGAATGTTCACGAGCAGGAACACAGGAAAGCCCCAGCAGGTTTGTCCACCGCCGAGTTGACCCGGGCCAGTGGAGTTGTGGAAGTCGATTCATGGAGAGGAAGCGTGCTGCCGAATCACTTCCAGAGGTCCAGAAGATGTTTCAACCATGTTTTGAGCATGTGAAGCACATGCTTGAAACACGTGTACACATGTTGCACCTGTGGAACACATGCTTGAAACACACGCCTGAAGCATTCTTGAAACACATGCGTATAACATGTTTTACACATTTTGATCTCATCTTTCGCCCACTGCTATAGCTAACGGGCGAGGAACGGTACAAAATAAACTTTTTCGCTGTCGGGGGCGCCTGCCCCAGGGCGGCTGGAAAGTTTATACCCTTACGGTGGCACCGTAGGGGAATAAGTTTTCCAGCCGCCCAGGGACAGGCGCCCCCGACGGCGAAAAAGTTTATTCTATACCGTTCTTCGCTCGCTGAGTTGTGAGTGTCCAGTGCCATGGCGTGCACGACAGCGGAGCCCCGACCCGACCCGCGGCCGCGGCCGCGGTGCGGTGCAGCTCTCGGGCCTGCCCGTGCCGCTGCCGCGCTCCCGCGCGCGGGCCCGCCGGCGGCCCGGGGGCCGAGCGGCGGGCCGCGGGCGGGGCCAGGCGGAGGGCTTCTCCGGAGGGCTTGGGCGACCCGTCCTCCTCCGCCTCCCGCACCTCTCCTCCTCCTCCTCCTCCTCCTCCTCCTCCTCCTCCCTCCTCCCACCTCCCTCCTCCCTCCTCCCCCTCCTCCGCCACCTCCTCCTCCTCCTCCTCCACCTCCTCGTCCCTCTTCTTCTTCCTCCTCCTCCTCCTCCTTCTCCTCCACCTCGTTCCTCCTCCCTCCTCTTCCTCCTCCTCCTCCTCCTCCTCGGGTCGCCTACGGCCCTGGGGGAAACCGTGCAGGGCCAGGACGAGGACAAATCCGTTCCAGAGCAAACGCTCTGAGGAGGACGCGGCGCCCGAGACATCTTCCAGAAGCGCCAGATACCAGAGATTCCCGACTTATCCTCACCCGAAGTTATCTTCGTCCTGGCGCTTCGTCTTGACCCGCCCGCTCCTTGAGATTCGACGCAGCCAAAAAGTTGGAACGTCGTAAAAGATCACTCCTGGAGCCGTAGACTCGATCTCTCGGCGTCATTCTTCGGGCCTGCTCGATCTGTGAGGGCCCCGGGGCCCGAAAATTCAGCGAAGACGCCCGTTGCGAAAAGATTGCAAACGCCTGCCATCTCAGGGCACTCTCGTCGGGGGCGGCCAAGAGGGGGGGGTGATGACCGGGGGGGGGTGGACATGGCGGCGGCCGTGACATCTCCCCCGATATCATGGCGCCTTTTTCCAGTCTCCATACGTCCCCGGCCCCCCCCTGGGCCACGCACGTGCCGCCAGCCATGACTCAGGAGGGAAAGAAACACAGACACAATTGATCGTCGACTCCCAAGAACATCTGGGAAAACATGGGCAGTGGGGGGGCAGACCAGGACCCCGAAAATGTAGGTACATAGGGGGGGAGTCTTCTTGGTATCTGTGTGTACTTCTTTGTCTGTGTGTCCTGGGGCCCCTTTCGAGGACTGGCGCCCCCCTTCCTGGGCGCCCCCCTCCTCGGCCGCCCCCGACCCCGGCCCCGCCCGGAGCCCCCGGGCCCCTCGCGCCGCCCGCGGAGCCGCGGCCTCCGCGCGGCTCGCGGAGCGCGCGCCCCGC